GTAATGTCCCCTGTGTAAAAACATAATTTGGTGCACCTGTGTCTAAAACAAGATCCATTTTTATTTAATAAATATCTTAATTACTGTCATAGGTCTTCATTGGTCAAATATTCATGAAAGCATGCATGGAATTACAGTGAGAGCTCAAATCTGCACTCGGAGCAGGTTATGTGTGGAAAGTGGTGTGTTCCTGAAAATTCCATTTATTTTTCTAACAATACGATAAACAAAAAAACTCTATATGAAGAGCTTTTCCTAAATTAGAATTGAAATTATGTATATCAATCCAGATGTTATAAAGTTAAATAACAGTGATGTAATAAGCAATTTCATAATATTTGACTGGCCTATTTTTAAGTAATTTCTTCTGCAGCGCTGAATATAGCTGATGTAGTTAAAAAAAGTAAATCTAAAATATATCACAGCCTATAACTTCATAGGTTACCTGAACTGTGAATAAGAGTGTATTTGTTAAAAACAAAACAACAGGATATGCCAAAAATCTCCAGCTGTTAGCAAACATAGTTTAAAGCCAGCTGCACTTCAAAATAAAATATCCCTAGTGACTTCCTGATGTAAGCAACCCAAATGTAGCAGTACATGCATTACTAGAAGCAAAAAGGATCTATTAACCTGTTTACATTGTTTCATTTACTAATATGTTACTCTTCCTGTAAGGAACAAATACAATAGGTTCATTTGAGGATTTTTTTTTCCCTTACGTTTCTGTATCACCCATATATGGGTTTTAGTAATTCATAAACCTTTTGTGTATTGAAGCTTATTTTCCTTGTGTTGCCTTTCAAATGACTGTAAAATTCAAGGATTAGGACAAGTTACACCAGAGGCAATGCAAAGCCATTTTCCTAGCTACTAGTAAGTCCTCCTCAAGATAACAAAAAAAAAAAAAAAAAGGTATATCAAAGGTTATCACAACTCTTTGATAAAGTCTTGGGTAGTATAATACATTCTCACAATGCCGCTGTATCAAACGCTGTCAGCAGTAAATCACAAAGCCCACTGCATCGATTTCCATCACAGCCTGACACCACTAATGCATGTATGTCTTCATTAATAATATTTTACTGCCAGTGGCTATTTAAAATAGAATGCAGGAGAATGTAAAACTGCATGTGGATCATTAGCTTTTAGTTACTATCCTAATGCCCTACACCAGCAATGAAGTGTAAAAATAGCCCGCAGCCTCTGCCACCTGCTTCCCAGCCACTGTCCAGTGGTTAGTATTTGGACTCCCTTTTTATGAAGCTGGTCTTCTACTCAGTAGGAGCCCCGCTTTCCATTCCTTAGGAACCACCATGAAATGTCATTTATCATGGCTACAGTAAAGGCCCTCTGTCTTTTTTTTTTTTTCCTAAATGGAAGAAACAGCTGTGCTTTCTACCTCGATGTTATTTAAATATTTAGTGAAGTGGCTGCCTAGTTTTGTCATCATGTAGATCATCAACAAGGACACATGAGAGCACAGACTATCTGCCATAAGGACATAATACCAGTAATTGCATAAAAATGCTAATGCTACAAACACACTTTTGATAACAAATTACCAAATTACCTTGGAATCTGATGGTAGGTGGGTTTCTCTGTGTCTCCCTTCCTCCCAGTAAGTGGTTTTAACATAATTATGACCCAGCTACATACAACTGTTGTATAAATAAAGTCCCAAGCCTGCCTGTGCTCCAGCAGAGCTCACTGTTAGATGTGCTAAATAAGCATAAGTGACCTTAACATGCAACTACACCTCTCTCAATCAAACTGGAAGCACTGTCTCAGACACAACAGCAAAGCGGGAAGTAAAAACCTAAAGCTCTTCTGTCACATACAATATACATTTGCTCTAATCTGATTTCTGATGTGCCAGCAGCTGAGCCTCTACGTAAATTCCTGCCGTGTCAAACAAACTGTATCACTAAGGCTTTTTTCTAAGCTTTTCATACTTCTCCAGTTTGTACAGGGCAGCAAAAATTTGTAAGTGCTACAAATCTAGTACAAGAGTAGTATGACATCATTTTTCTTTTGAAACAAAACACACCACCTCTATCCCTGAGCACTTGGATCTTTTTTAGACCTATATGAAATGCTCTGTATAAGAGGACCTAATTTATTGATATCATTGAAGATGTAATTATTGTGTTCTTCCTCAATATTATTGCATCATTTTAAAAGTCCTGACAAAAACATGACCTGGATTCTTGAAGCGGCATTTTGAGTCCTTCCTTGATCTTCCCTGCTGTCCATGTAATTTGAACAGAAACACATGATTACAAAGGGAATGCTCAGTCTGCATTTATAACAGATTTTAAATGCTCCTATTAGCTACATGGCTTAATTTCATCTGTATCACAGTAACACCACATAGTTTGACTGGCCTTTTTAATAGCTCTTTTACTAAAATCATTATTGGGAGGAATGTTAAAATATCTGGGTTTAGGAGTTATTCAACTTTTGAGTGAACCATTTTCCTTTGTGGAAGAAGTTTCAGTGAGAATCAAAAATGTTTTTAAATCCTTTGTTCAAGTTAAAAAAACAACAATGAAACAAACAACAACAACAAAACAAACCCTTAATTTCAAAGTGCAACAATTTTTTTTAATTAGTGGAAAAAAAATAATTCCAATGTCTCTTTTGACTAAAAAAGCATTTTAGAGGACTTTTTGAGCAGTTTACTCTATTAAAGCATTTAAAAATTTTCTTCAGCAGTTTCCATATATTCTCTCATTCTCTTTGTACTTCACAAATTGAGACATGTATGTACACATATACACTAAGACGTGGGATTCTCAAGAACTGAACACCTGTAGACTGAACTGTAAGAAGCTGAGCAGAAGGAACTATTTATATCTCCCAGTTATTTCCACTCTCTGAAGCAGTTGTCCTGCCTCACCCAACACAAGTCAAGCTTGCTGAGAGTGTCAGAGGTGTATCTGGGAAAAGAAGTGACTGCAAAATGTCAGGAACAGATGCCATGAGGAGGTTGCATAGAGTCTGTGAAGACACCAGGTTGAACCTGATCTTTGGGAAAATAGGACAGTTTCAGGATAGATGAGAAGCAGAGATGCAGGGGAAAATTACTTTAGATCTGTGGGGTGGAGAAGGGTTTGAAGAAAACCAGACAGCTGACACAGAAGATGCTGTCTTTGCCTCTCTGGTGCAGTTGCAATATTGCAACGTTCACATTTGGAGATGTTTGTTCACCCTTCCTTTCCTTTTCTGCATCTTAATTCACCTACTGTTACCGGTCAAGGAACTATAGCAGCCAGCGGCCCAGTTATATTAAATGCTCTCTTTAGTATTCGATATTCTAGTATTTATACTCTGTAACCTCCTCAGACGAAACAATCCTGCAGCATCTAACTCTTGACAGGAGTCAAGACTTAACAGTGCTACAGGGAAAAACTAGATGAGATTTTCAGAAAAATACAGTTTTTCATCCCATGTTCTCTAATCTCAGCTACAAGACTACACACAGCCTAGTCATGCTTAGTTCCCTTCTTCAGCAAAAAAAATATTCCTGATAGGTCATCAGTTTCAGTACTACGCTGCAAGATTACCTTGACAAATATTATTCACCTACTGTATAAAAATATAAGGTCCTTTCAACTTTATCTTACAGTTCCCTCTAGATTTTAACATAATCATAATTCTAAACTTGGGTGGCCTGTATTAAAGAGAGACATTTCAGCAAAATACAAAAAAACATTACATGTTTCTGAAACTTGCTCAGTATTTTTTTTTCCTCAAATGAAATGAGTTGTATAGATTTAAAAAGTCAAATACACACGCAAAAAATATTAACATCTTCCAGAGCATGAGACTTTCTTTGTAAGGTGAAGGGTTTTCTTCCACATTTCTGTTTCTGGAATCAACATGCATTGCTTCTACTAATATAGTTGACACTCTTACTAATTACAGAATTTGTACAGATTACAGAGATTCTGCGATCTCAAAAACTACAGGATAAACAAAGAACCTGCATCTTGGTTTCTAACAGTAAAAAAGCCAAACATCATCTTTGTTCAACACAAGACTAAATGATGTTATCAAAAAGGAACAAGGTGGTATATATTGCACACATCAAACCGCCTGCTCAAACCTGCAGGTCTAAACAAAATCTGTAGGTTTGAAAAAAAACTATTCAGTGATGTGTCACACACTGATTTACTGCTAACAAGCAGAGCAGATAAAGAATTGAGGCGGCATCCTCGCATCCAGAGAATCCTTGCTACAGCTGGGCATGGTGAAAATCTACCTTCTGCAAAACAAGAATTGTATCATATCAAAGTACCACATTTACTGAGAGCAGCCCTGAGGAAGACTTGGGAGTGCTGGTTGATGAGAAGCTCAACATGAGCCGGCAATGTGCGCTTGCAGCCCAGAAAGCCAACTGCATCCTGGGCTGCATGCAAAGAAGCATGGCCAGCAGGTCAAGGGAGGTGATTCTGCCCCTCTACTCTGCTCTCGTGAGACCCCATGCAGTACTGCATTCAGCTCTGGGGTGCCCAACATAAGAAGGACATGAAGCTGTTCCAACAAGTCCAGAGAAGGGCAATGAAGATAATCCGAGGGCTGGAGCACCTCTCCTATGAAGACAGGCTGGATATAGGTTGGATAAGGCTTTGAGCAACCCGGTCTAGTGGAAGGTGTCCCTTCCCATGGCAGTGGGGGTTGGAAGCAGGTGATCTTTAAGGTCTTTCCAATCCAAACCATTCTATGATTCTATGATGAAGACTAGAACATTCAAGCAACAACTCAGTCTCTTGCAAAGCACCAATGGCTCTTCTAGTGGTGGGTCAAGAGCAGGTATCAGCTGCCAACTGGTGGGGTGTCAGGAGGGGATTCCTTTAGGGAGATACTGAGTGAGCCACAGAGATTACTACACACAAGTTTTTTAATCTGTACCACTAATCTTGCCACATGCAACATGAATAAAAATCAAAGCTAAAGTACCTACATAGAGTCTTGTGTAAGGATTCTATACTTACCACATATCAAGGCAGGTGGAATATTCTGTTGATCCCAGAAGGACATCTGGAGGCCTGTACCATAGGGTTACCACTTCATTGGAATATGTATGACTGGGAACTGATTTAGCTCTTGCAAGACCTGTGAGGTAAATACAAATAAATTAATGCGAACAAAACAAAGACATAGTTTGCTGTATAGTTATGATCCTAAAAGGACATATGTGCACACACCAATGACAGTATGTTGCAAGGGTTTTTTTCTTCTAGTATTGGAATAAGTTATTTAATGAAAGAATATGGTAGCATCTATCATTTAGTACCTGGCTAAACAAAGCTGTGAGTATTACAAAGAAATAATAAAATATGCTTTTCATAATGACAACCACAGGCCCAGGAGAGATGCAAAGTTACACTGTGGTATACCTAAATGAAAGACAAATAAATAAAGATTTTCAGTTCCATTAACTGCTCATCCTTAGGCATCGACAGTCTTTCATTTCAATGCTATTTAGAAAAAGGAAATGAAAAGGAAACTCCCAGACAAACAGTGCCACAGATGAGATTTTGGTTTTTTAGGGGAGCCTGAGGAAACCTTCCACAGTTTACACTGCAAACCCCAGCCCGCTTATTCAAGTTTATATCTGAAAGTAGTAGACACACTTACACATTACCATTTAAATAAATATTAAAATTGCAGTAATACATCAGAAAATGGTATGTGCAAAATTCTCTCTCAACAAATGTATATTGGCAGTGCACCAATCTCAGAAGCAGAAACCATTTCAATGACATCTGTGGTCTACTAAAGATACACTATTTACAACAACTGTCTTTTAAGCCTGTCAGTCATTTAAAATGGATTACGGTTGTGTAGTAATGTGAATTATCTCATGTAAAATTGGAAAGATTTTAGGAGAGACCCTCATAAGCTAAAAACAGCAATAGAGAGCATACTTTTCTAACAGTTCTCCTACAGAAGTCTTTCTCCTCCAGGAAATGGAAAAGGATTTTTGGGGCCATGGTGACTGTTCCCATAATGGGCCCGCAAGCACCTTTTCCAAATAATCTGCTCCTATTTACTGCCTTGAGACTACCTGCTCCCTTACTGGAAATACTGGACATGCACAAGTAATGGAAATCGTGAGAATGCACTACTGAGTTTGTGTCTTCCTAGGCAAAGAACTACCAATTTCCCTTTCACAAAACAAATGAAATTACAGGTCATGTCTTACACCTTACAGAAACCCAAAAGCAAAGTCATACACTCAGAAAGAAATATGCAACATGAGAATTCACATGAAAGTGCAAATGAGAGTCCTTTGCACCTTTATTCTTAATACACTGGAGAAGCTATTTAAGAACAGTTAATCTCAGTGAATATATCTCCATAGTAATGATGGCAAATCTCACAGTAGATTGCATTATCGGCTGATTACAGCAATTAGACCAGTGTAGGGGAATAATTTGACTTGTATGTCAGAATTTCTCCTAAAAAATATTACTTTTCAAATACGAATAACCTTTTTTTTTTTTTAAGTGTTCAGACCTCCATCTCTTTTATGCTTGTGCACTTGAACATCAGCTTGATGAATAACTTGGCTGACACAGACAACTCAGGGTTGGCTAGGTACAGCCCTAAAGAGGCCAGAGGAAAGGTCACATCATATGTTCTGCAGTGCCTCTGCCTCCAGATCAACATTTTTGCTTCTAGGAGATCAGAAACCATCAAATGCTCTAACTGGTGAACAGTTCTTATTCCTAGTCCAGAGAAACCTTAAGTTTGAGTTTCTGAGCACTGATATCCCCCATGACTAAACTGAAACAGTAGTCCCTGAATTTGTGGATATGGAGCTACTATTATTAAGCTAAATAAAAATTATGAAAGGATTTGAGAAGCCTGGATGGTGAATGCCTCCATCCTTCTTTGCCTGAGTCGCCCGTTAGTCTTGCCTGAGTAAGACTGAATTTGGTCGCGTTGATTTTCTCGCTAATCTTCTATCTAGCTTTGATAGGAGAAAAGGCATAGGCAGGCAGGGAAAAAGAATTTTTAAGAAGCCAGCAACATCATATGATTTGGAGAAACCTGTCAAAAAACTTGAGAACTTGTGGGGTGAAAAATGAACTCAGGCCTCCATGATACGTCTTTGATCAAGAAATCTCCCATAGAGGGAGGAATGAGCACCCAACTTTCCATATGAGATATCATACTGCAAGTAAAACATCCATGCTTGCCTGTCAGTTTCTGCCACTTTACTGGCCAGGATGGAGCTCAGAAAGTGCTATAGTTAGCCCAAGCACACTTTTCCTCCTCTCCTGAGACCATTCAGCATGGAATGAGTCCTCCTGTCCTGCTGGGACTGCTGCCCATCTTTTTTCTTCAGTCCACTGCTTCTAGATCTCTTCCACCCTCTAATCTGTTCTAGGTTAACTGAAATCCAACAGTCCATTCAAAGTATGGCCCTTTTGGGCTAATCCCAGCCTGTTGGACAACTAAACATTTTTCTTTAATCTGCTCCTAACTCCCAAAACACCATGAAAGCCTCATTTGAGGTTAGCTGCTACATCTCGTTTCTCAGTTATAAGAGGATCATTACCGGAATGGAGAAAGTTAGAAAAAAAACCTTAATTTGTAAAAGCAAGTTGAGGCCATACATTGGCATCAGACAGCACCACCGGGTTTACGAGGTTTATAGGTACCGGTCATGTGTTTTAAGTTGCGGCCAACTGGTTTCCTAGTTGGGCACATATACTATTTTAGAAACTAAATGGCCCAGTGGAAAGCAGGAGTGAAAAACCAAGGGTAATACTCACAAAGGCTAAAATTTGGCAGAGGAAAATTTGGCACAGTCCCGCTGTGCAGTCAATCGCTCCCCCTGTGCAGAAGCAAAAGGACTTGAATTTGGCTAACGCCCTGGAGGAGCTGCTTTGTCTCAGGGAGGGAGCAAAGTTTGCTTTTCCTGAACGACATGCTGCGTAAAGAAGGCATTTGCAATTATGAACACTTTCACTTGAAGGCTCAAAATTAACGTAAACATCTCTCATCACACTTCAGGCATGAAAAAACAATCCTCATCTTTCAGATATATTTACAGTTTAAAAAGAACGCTATCAAAATATATATGTGAAAAACTAACAAGATACTGCATTTCTTGTTTTGATGCTCCAGATGCAAATAGATGACAGTTACCAGGTTGGTTTTTATTTTTCAGATATCCTTCTGCAAGAAGATTTGCTACATATTTTATACCCTTCTGCACATCCAAATATGCTTACTCATGCAAAATTTATTTAACCATATCCTTCAACTGAAAGAAAACTGAAGGGTAGGATTAATTAGCACAGCATGTTTGATCACCTTCTTTAAGGGTTCCCTGTCTGTTTCCATGGTTACACTACAGGAAGAGAGACAATCTTATTTTAAAAAGACAGAGCTTATGGGGATCATCAAAACTCCAAACCTGAATGGCCAGTGTGCATAAAAGCCAAAAGGTAAACTGAGAGATCACCAGGTGAGTCCTAATATTTACATATTGCTGCTTAAGCACTTTTTTTGCCTGGGAAGGTGGAGGGAGGACCTCCTGACAAGCAGTGAACTCCCCTCTGGTTCCTCTGTTTTCCAAAAGATAAAAGGTCAACACATGTCCTGCTGTTGCAGTCTTATTTTAAGAGAAGGAAGCCAAGAATAAGGCCCAGTTATTAAAAGTCAGGTCGTGTCAGACCCACTGGGGAACCTGTGTGTAATTATGGGAAGAACAGACGTTGTTTAATGTTCTCCAGGCACTTACTTCTATGGCCATTATTTATCCAAACTGAAAGGAGAAACTGTAAGGCTTGCACAACAGCATCTACCTGCGCTGACACACAAAGCACAACTTGCTTTTAACTCATTCATTAAGCAATGGCTCAGGATATCCTGCAATGCCCTGTATTTAAAATACAGGGTGAATGATCTATGCCTATGTATGTATATGTCTTTAAAAACACAAAACCTCCTGCTGCCTCCTACTCTGATTTTTTTTTTAAAGTATTTTAAAAGTAAGAAGATATTTCCTTCCTCAGTAAACACAATTTTCTCTGCTTTGCCTGGCTTTATCTTTTATCTCAGACTCAAAGGTTGTATCTGATTTTACCTAGCATCAGTTATTGACAAAACACATTGCATTGATTTATTGTAATTTTTAAATTGTATTTGGCTTTTACAAGAGGCTGTAGCTATATTCAGACTCAAGATCTATTCAATACACGCACCTTTAGCTATACAAGCACAGATATTAATATTTGATATCTCTTTAGCTGCAGGATAGCTTTCTAGTCAAGTTCATATGACAATCAGGATGCCTTTGTTCACAGTGAATATGATTCTGCAAATGAGGAAACCAGTCACAACTGCAAAAACAGGGGCTTGCCAATCCTGTGCATTGTTTCCCTTTCTATTATACCTTAAATGTGTTGAGCTGTTTACTATTTTGATTTAGACATATCAAAAAGAGTTCTAGCAAGGCATACTGCAAAAAAAGATTTTTTTCTTGCTGTTTTTCCTCGATTCAGATTCTTTTCATACTTCTTTAGCCTCCTGTCTTGTTTATTTTAACAATTACCTAGAGTTTGAGGTAAACGGCTTATAAATCTGTAACTACAATTCAGTAACAATATTAAAATATTGTTAATGTATTCTATTGTAGATCATGGAACTGTCAACTTCACTTAACCTATTTACTCAGCTACTTATTTTCCAACAGAAGCATATTTATTCAGTGAATACCTGAATGACAACAAACCAGAAGTAAAATAGGTGGAAACACTGACACTGCTTTCAGTGAAGCAGTCAGCTCTGTAACACAGAAGTCAGTACTTGGCAATCAAAAGCATCCTGCAGCCTTTAGGTCCCTCTTGCTGTTTACCTGAGCATGTCTCTCGAAGATGTTGCTGTACCAGAGCATCCAAGTTAAATTCCTTTCAAACAAGATAAATTACCTACGATATCCTATGTCCGAGTTCTAATACAGCCACTAGATTCTGGTGGCGATGTTCATTTATAAAAGTTATCCACTATCAGGGAAAGCCTAATTAGGTTCCCCAATGAATATTCTTAAAATACACTTGAACAATGACTGGTCTTCCAAATCAGAGTGCAGGAGT